GTACAATCCTAGATACACCAGTGTTGTTGTTATTAGTGCAGTAGTAGCAGTAGTTTTGCTCTTTATTGTGTAATATATTGAAAATCACTAGTGACAACTTCCATTTTAACTGGCACTATAGAAATTTAAAAATCTATCTATGCTTTTGCCAGCGAATTTTTATAAGCTAATTATATAGTCCTCTGATGTTGTCAAGGCTGCTTTATCTTGTTTGCAAACCTGACACATTCTTCTCTATTTTTTTATTTGCCCACCACTGTTATAAACACAATTAAATGTATTTCAAGTTATTGAACTTTTACATCTCCTATAATATCTCAAGCAATAATATAGTGTGCACTTTTTCTCTAATTACATTAAAATCATCCGCATTTATTTCTTGTTATTTATCCACACAAACACACACACAATCAAATTTGGATCTTATTTTGTATTTTTCTTTTCCATTTTTAGGAATGACTAAATTCAGTTTTTATGTTTGTAAATCTTTCTAACACATAGCAAAATTAAGCAATTTTGGGGGGTTTTTTTTGGCAACTATCGACGCACTTCGTGTTAAACTGTAACCAATCCTTATTGTTTGCATATAAATCCTTAATAAACAATATAAATAAAGTTTAGGTGTACAAGAACCACGTTTTGAGAAATTCTGCCTCAAAGATAAACTAACCTGTACAAATAATAGGACTAGAATTACAGAATTTGCGCAGAGAACATTGTTTAGTAAGAAAATTCACTTTAAAAGTATACAAACATAAAATATAAGTATCAAGTTATTCAAAAACTTTAACTCAACATTTTGTAAAATGTTTGACTTTGACCTATTTTGGTGAATATCTCAATATGATTTCACCAATGATGCGTCTCATTTCGTGGTGAGACCTCACATATATGGACCTATGAATCAGGTGTGTAACAACATTACTTACAAATGACACTTTTACATTGCATTAAAACAGTTTCTTGATTGTTTTCTTTTAAATTCACTACAGGTTTGAGCAGATGTTTAAGTCGGTTCTTCTGGAGCAAGAGAAATCTGCAGCTCAAGCGCAGTCTATGGATTGGAGTTTCGTCACTAAATCTTAACACCAGCAGTTCCAAAAACTAACCTCTGATTAAAATGGACTATTCCGCAAAGCCCCACTCTTGGATATTGTTGCTGAGGTCCCACTAGATGACAGCATAAATGTATGCAACAGAATTTAGCTGCTCAAGTGCAGTCTGTTGATTGGAGCGTCATCATCAAACCCTAACACCAGCAGTTCCGAAAACTAACCCCTGCTTGAAATGGAGCATTCCGCTAAGCCACAACCCTTGAATATTGGAGCTAAGAGCCAACAAAAAGTCTGTAAACATGTGCACTTATGGGACAACACATTATGTGTTTTGGGACATGCGCATGTTTGTGGGACATGCGCGTATTTTTGGCCTTGTTCTGATTGCCAGTTGGTAATTTGATTGACACTCCGGAATTATCCATTGAGTCCCAAGGTCATTATCAATAAGGTATTAAAGTAAAAGGAACTCCTATTGGTTGAAGTTCGGTGAGTATTAGTTGGATATAGATTAAAAAGATTATGTAAAGATCCCTATACAATGCTCAAATTACTGTAATTTATAATATGTATTATGAGTTTGATTATTTTTATTTTTTCAGATTAAAAAAATTGCAATATTAAGAATGTGAATCCAACCTGGTTCAGTGTTTCTTTTTCAAAATGAGGCAATACACTTTGAACCATTGTTTCTTGCTTAATGGTCTTGCTTAAAGGTCAATGAACCTTGATGGCTAACTTAAATGCATTAGTTGGACCAATTGTTATTATTGCTGGAATTTAGTATTATGAATTCTAGCAAGTAGTATTTATCTGTTACTTAATTCAAATTAATTTGTTTTATCAATCAAGTTTCATAAATCCTTGAGTATGGTATACAGAGAAATTGCCAAGGAAACAGTTTTTTAATTGCCCATCGAAGATAGGATTATGTAGTCGATGATTTGTAGGAAGGTCGCATGAACAGTTGTATGCTCTGAAAAAAATTGCCTTTATCTTCATGTGCCAATTAATCTAGCAATATGTAACTTCGATAGATGATGTACATTGGTAGGTAAATAATAATAACAGTGCTTGAATATAAGCTTTTTTTTCTGTTCCAACACCGTATAGGTCTTTGTGGTATGTCACTTGCATTACAGGAACTGTTATTACTTTATCTATTTGTTTATATCAATGTATCTATTTTTATTAAGTGGTTGCCTGTGTTGTTGGTACTACCCCTGGTTTTGGTGTGGCACATGCAAGGCATTTAACAGTTCCTGGAGGGTTGGAAACTAAGCAGGTGTCACAATTCCAGCTTCTTGATTTTGGTTTGAACTTTTCAGCCAAACTCTGAAAATAACCGTTTGAAAAATTCTGGATCCGCCCCTGGACAAAGCAAGAGATCCGGTATTTCAGTAGCTGAAGTTGTATACTGTATTTATAAAGCTTTCAATTAAGAAATAACAGCTGATTAAATAATCCCATTATATAAGTTGGTAACTTATTTGTAAAATGAGCAGTGTTTATTGAATAAGAGTTTTTCGCGAGACAGTATAGTCAGTAAATAAAATCATATTTTATTATGAACTAATTGTAGTTTAAGTATGTTTGCTACATTATGGCAACCCAGTTGAAACTTGATTAATCCAGTTAATCCAGACTGGGTCAGGTTAGATAGAAGCAGATGATTAGATGAGACTCAAAAACGTGTTCTGTTTGCTATGTACGAATGAGTATATGCAAACAGTAATATTAAACTAGAAACTTTAATCAAAGCTTGTAGGTTAGAATACATACAATGCATATACTGTACTTTTATGATAGATTTATTTCTTTTTTTTTTCACCGTCACTATGCTTACATTAATCTTTAATCTTATCATTTTTAAATCATGTTAATTTACAATTACTCATAGTTTACTTGGTTTTTTATGTTTTATTTTTATTTTGTAATATAAGTACGAGTTCAATTGAATGACATTTATTTTAGGAATAAATCATTGTGATTCAATGGCTTGACTTTTATTATGTATCGTTTTTATATTCTCGATGCATCTTGTGTCTCCAAATATACAGTTCCTAATGTAAATTGCACTTAGTTCCTTGAAAGATGGCTTCCAGGGATTAGCCACAAGTTATCGATCTTTTAAATGCTTCCGTCACTTTAAGTATTTTTGTCTGGCGAACAAGCAATCACTCAGTGCCTAGTTAGGAGTATTGAAATGGCGGGGGTTGTGATGATGGGGGCGTGAAAGAGGATCTATTAATAAATGGGGGTGGAGGCGTCGGCGCTATAGGTCGCAAAATAAGGTGGTTTTTAACTACTTGAGCGTAATTTTTTTTTTTTTGCTTCGGACATCTGAGGGAATCCGCCCCTAAATATGCCACTGCAATAACTAAGATATTACATTTCAAAGTCAAAAGCTGAAGATTACTATTGTCTGTTATTGTATACGTTTCGTCGTTTTCAGAATTACACTAACTGGGCATTCTGAATACACATGGCCATCGATCATTAGAAATTAATATTCCTATTCCTACGATCAAACTCTTCTCAATGTAATGATTTTGGTTGTCATTTAAATACAATATCATGTACCGTCGGCGTCTGCTTATTAAAGTTTGTATGGTACATGGTGAATTTATTGTAGGATATTACATCCACAATTTACACAGGATTCCTTACAACTTTATCAAAGTACTGCACTACTGTGTCCGTGATAACATGACGTCCCTCAGTAGGGAAGTGCGATTTAAATGTAGGCCTATACATAAAATGTATATAGCTCTATTTTTATTACTGAAATATATAACTAATAGTTTGCTTTATTATTGTTATTGATTAATACTGTCTTCATTTATCATATTATTTATTCATATTTTTTAATTACATTTTTTCTATTATGATTTTGTTGTGAAAGGAACATTGAACATGGTAACATATTATCTTCATTGTCTTCGTCATAATCATATTTTTATCGTCACCATTGTCGTCGTTGTCATCACCATCATCACTCATCATTTATAAATAAATAATTAAATAATTAATAATACTGTAGTTTGTTTATGGTCCACAAGAAAAGATTTAAAATTATTCACTGGAAGCAACTTTTTGTCTTTAAGATGTCGTGTTAACTTAAGGATCTTAAGCAATTCAATCGATGCTTATTTACTCAACCATTCACATTCATGCTCGCTTACCCAACGTGTTTCTCGGCAACAACGTGATGACAATTGATTGGACACACAACACAATGCGTAGTGTAAACGCACCGGAGCGCACGTAACGATTTCTTTTGTTTCGTAGAGTTCAGTTCACGCCATGCGTATGATGTTTGCAAATGATAAATATTTGCAAATACAACAGTACAAAGCGGATGTTCCGTTTGTTTCCGACTATTTATATTTAAATATTGTCACATTAAAACGGGACATTGTATTTTGAATGTAAGAGTACTGGAATTCAAGGCCTCGTTTGGGTGAGTGTATTAGCTTTTCGGTTTCGTTCAAACATTAGTGAATCTATGGCCAATGAGGCGGGAGAGGAGACACCATGCAATCTATTGTTTGCGTCACATCTGAAAGAATTCTCATTGCAGGAAGGTTTTGTATTTAAAATGGATAATGTGGTTTATGTGTTAATTTATATAGGCCTATTTAGGATTTCTGGTTTCAATTCTGAGAGGGTGTGGAGGTGCAGATGGTGCGATCGCACCCCCTAAATTATATTAAGAAAAATAATTGTATTATATTGTTGATATGAATTATCGGTAAGGGTTTTAAGATGTGAGAGTGCAATTGCCGGGCATCTAGAGGTCCATATTCTCAAAATGTTTACACTTCAGTTTTAACCATGGAGCTGAGGTGGTTTGGACTCTCACGCACCCCAGCTACCGCCAATTCCTGCATCAGCCCAAGGATTTAACCAAGAAATGCACATCAGTATTTGCTGCCTCGACTATTATTCGTCTACTCTGTCTACTACTCTAGTAGTAGTAGTATGGTAGTAGTAGTAGTGGTGGTAGTAGTAGTAGAAGAAGTAGTAGCAGTAGCAGCAGCAGCAGCAGATTAGCTATACGGTATAGACTCATTTAATTACCGTACATAAGCACCACCGAGTGGTGAAGCTTATGAGACCCCGTATGTATCGTGATCGTATACTTATAATTATTCATTATATGGATCTCATAAAAAAAAATGTCAATAACATTTAAATTTGCATTCGATATGGGAAATATTAGTAAGAAACCATATGTTTATTATTATTTTCAGAGGCTTAGTTTTCATCCACAATTTATGCGACATCTGGGTTCGATGGTAGTGACGATCAGTTTATAGACATATTCATCAATTGTAATGTAAATCGATTTTTGCAAAAGAATCCTTCGGAAATATGCATTAGTCTATTTTTATAGGCCTGGATAATTTTTCTTATAAACAAGTATATGCTTGTATAATAAGAACGTTGATAATGGATTTAGAAAAAACGACGTTTGCAGTTCGGATCAAAATGACGTTTTTTTTGGCTATCCTACCGGTTTGCTTCATGAATACTTATGCAGCATCAGTACTGGAAGGGCCAAGTAATTCCACGGCTAAACAAGGTTATACAGTCGTGCTCAAATGCAAGGTAGATAGTCTAGATGAATCGTCAGGACAGGCCGTCGCTTGGGAACACGACGGTAAGCCCAATCCTACCCTCAGTCACGGCACAAAAATTGTTCGCGAGGGAAAGATGGACAGGTTCTCGATCGTAGGAAATGTAACCGCTGGTGAATACAATCTTCAAATAAATCCTGTACTTGCTGAAGATAGAGGAGAATATTCATGCTCTGTTTTCCGAGGTGATGCAACTGGTAAATCTGCAATTTTGACAGTGCTGTATCCCCCTTCCGATAATTACCCTCTATGCTACCCATTGGAAAATACGTTACATTTTAAAGAAATTGAAACACTGTCAATAGTCTGTAAAACAGGGATTTCGGATCCTCCAGCAACTGTTACATGGATTGATGATAATGGCCATGAAATTAACGACTCAAGTGTGATATTGATCGGCAATGAATACGTGGTGACCCATAAAGAAACCATGTATAACTACCACGATGGTGATACCTATTTTTGCTCTGTATCACATCCGTTGTGGCCTGAACCACGGAACTGTTCTCTGGGACCGTTATTTATCCTCTACCGTCCTCTCACTACTATATCAGTACAGATGACAGAGAAATATATTGAACTAAATTGTTCGGCTTTTGGAAATCCGTCCAAGTTCACTTATGAATGGACGATTTATCGAGGCAACCAGACGAAAACGCAGCAAGACTTTAAGGAAGAAGACATCCCAAATAAATCCAATTTCCTCACACTACAGAGATCTAAATACAATAGCGTAGAATTGGTTGTTGAATGCGCAGCAAGAAATCCACAAGGAGTCGGAAAATCAAATGCAACCATTCTGTTATCGTCTGCACATTGTCGTGGCGGCAAAACAAAGCTGATTGATATTTGTCGCACCGTCTCAGTACCAACTGTTTGTGTATTGTCAATAGTCGTTGTAGTCTCGTGGGTATTAATTGGATTTCTAATTATGAAAGTAAGAAAATTGAAAAAGGCAGCAGTCCCTGAGGTATCCAACGTAAGCTCTAGAGTAGAAATGACACGTAGTGGAAACAACGGTGTATATGTGACACTCACGGAATCCATTGACAATTTGGATAGAACCTAATGTTACACGAATATTTATGAATTTAAAATTTCATAAACTGTAATTACGAAAATTACTTGTAAATATAAGCTGTTCTTGTGCCCTTTTGAAATTATGCATACTTTTTCATGTTATTTTATTTATTTTGTCATTAGAAAAACATACAATAAGGACAAAAGAAAATACAGACAAACTGACAGTAAAAATAGCAATTGTTAAAAACCCGACGGAGTAACCTAACAAGCGAAGGTTCTCTAAGGTTAAACACAATAAGTGAAAACACTTAAAATATTCGTGAATACCGTAGTTAATACCAGGAAAAGTGTACGCTACAGTGCTTTGGATACATGTTTAAAACTCTTGGATTTTTCAGTGTTTTACCAATTCTCAACATGTGAATAATATGTATGAAATAATTGCCATCACTAATCTTTCCAAACGACCACGTGGTAGAGTGACCACGTGGTAGAGTGACCATTTAAAAACAATTAATATAGTATAAATTATTTCACCCATTTGACATGTTCCTTAAGATCTCATTTAGTTTGAAGATGCTAAAAAATAATTTTACGTTTATTTTGTTTAATTTCTAACTAGGCTTACGCTTTTAGCTAACGTTTAGGCTCTTGTGTTTTAGAACATCACATGTGATTAGTCATTTTGTTTGCAGTAAACATGACATTACTAAGCATCATATAATATATATATATATATATATATATATATATATTATACATATTATATATACCCTGTCTCTTATACACATCTAGATGTGTATAAGAGACAGTTATTGAGGCTTGCCTCTAAAGTTTAGTTTTGGCCTTCCTGTACTTGTTTTAGCTGTTTATTCTAATCTCACCCAGCCTATTATTTCCAATCACCATTGTTTCCCACAGCATTGTTGTTTTTCAGTATTTTGCCTTTTAATCTATATATCATTTTCTACTGTTTGTATCATTTTGATCCAACTCTGCTGTAATTCTGGAGGGTACTTTGGACAATTTCAAATTTCTACGACGCTTGTCGGAAAAGCGCGTCAGGTATCGTAACCATCTT